GGTGACCGTGTGTTTCTTAAAGTCACCCCCTTCAAGGGAATTAGTAGGTTCGGCAGAAGGGGAAAATTAAACCCCAGATACATTGGACCCTTTGAAATCTTAGACAAGATTGGTACCACTGCCTACAGACTTGCACTGCCCCCTGAGCTCTCCCGGGTTCACAATGTGTTTCATGTATCTATGCTGCGCAAGTACAATCCGGACCCTTCTCATGTCGTGGCTCATGAACCGCTTTCACTCCGAGAGGACTTGTCTTATGAAGAAGTACCGGTCAGTATCACGGACCGAGAAAGCAGAATACTCCGTAACCGGGAAATATCATTTGTAAAAGTCTTGTGGCAGAACCACACGCCTAGGGAGGCGACTTGGGAGCTGGAATCAAAATTTAGGGCCCAATATCCTCATCTGTTTGATCAAGAGTAATGAGGCAAATTTGGGGACCAAATTTCTTTATGGGGGGGAGAGTTGTAGCACCCGGAAAGGAGAAAAAAAAAAAAAAAAAAGGGGGCCACGTCAGCAGCCACGTCAGCAGGCCCGGTCAGCAGTCCCGGCCAACCAGGGCCTGCCACGTGGCAAGATCGCGTCACTCCGAAAGGAGCCACGTTGGCGATCCGCGTGGGTGCGATCCGATGGCCCAGATCAATCGCGCGATCGGACGGCCCAGATTCAAACGCACGGACGGCCCAGATTCAATCAAAAACGAACGGCCCAGATTAAAACGAAATGAACGGCTGTGATCAAAAGGCAAGGGGTTATAAATAGAACCCCCACACCAGACCACAAACCCTAGCCGCCAGCCGCTCGCCGGAGAAGACGAACCAGAGGCCGACCGCCGCCACCCGCCGCCACTCGCCGCCGCACCGGGGAAATTTCCGACCGCCGATCGAGGTAAATTTCATACCCCCGACTCGTTCTTCCCCACTGATTCCTCCTATGGCCAAATCGAAGCCGAAATCCCGGCCAAACGGCCGGAATACGCTGCTGAAGCCCAGCGGCGCCGCCGCGCCCCCTCTCGGTTTTTGCCTCCGACGAGGCCCTTCCCGGCCTCCGTTCGATGCAATTTTTATATCACCGTGATCACCATTCTTTTCTCTACAGGTTGACCAAAGCCAAATCACCAAAACACGAACCTCGCCGGAGAGTCGCCGTACCCGAGAGCGCCGCCGCCGGTAAGCTCCGCTTTTCCGTGATTTTTTGGCCCCCCGAGGGCCCTAGGGTTGTTTTCTGACAAGGACCAATGCGAGAGTGGCCAAATTCGGCCGAAAACAGTCAACCCGAGGCGACTCGCCGCCGCCAGCAGCGGCGCCGTCGCCGGAGCACGGCAGAGCCGCCGTGCCGGAGTTGCGATTTGGGCCGAAAGAGGCCCTGGGCCTAATTTGGATTTTTTTTGGAACACGTGCAGGTACTGTTAGTGTGTTTCAGTTCCCCGCGAAAAATTCAGAGAAAATTAGGGACAGCCTGCAGGCGCACTGTGAATCGTATTCGGATCCCGAAAACAAGTAAGGACCCCTCACCCTATTTCCTATCACGGTATTAAAGTTCAAAATGATAAAACGGTATTTCTTGAATTAACGCATGTGTGAAATTGCTTAAGGTTGCTAATGGAGCCTGAGTCTAGTGTGATTGATGATGTACTGTTATTTGACCTGTTTACAGCTTTAAATGCAAAGTGAGGTTTGATGTGTTCATTTTACAGATTTGTGTGCATGTACTACGTTTTTATTAATTATGGGTTGAATGACTGAAAAACTGATATTGTATGTTGTCTGTTGGTATGAATTACGATTTGCTTGTTTAAATGTGAATTGATGATGTTGATTGAGGAAAAGGAAAATGAAAGATTGTATAGACTGATAATTGTATTATGGGGGTCAGCCTGACTAGATATCCTGGGAGATGGTGGACGGACCGGGTCCGTAGGGAACCCTACCGGGATTGTGGTCTCACATGCCGGACGGGGTATGGAGATCTTATGGTTTTGGCGCCCATACCGGACGGGGTATGGGGACGGCCCGTTTCACCCTCATACCGGACGGGGTATTGAGGTTTATGGTTTTGGCGCCCATACCGGACGGGGTATGAGGACGGCCCGTTTCACCCTCATACCGGACGGGGTATTGAGGTTCATGGTTTTGGCGCCCATACCGGACGGGGTATGGGGACGGCCCTGGAAACTGATTATGAATGTTAAAGGTTAACGGGTAGCGGAACCCCTATGGACCCCCACGGATACTAGTAGGCTGGTAAATGAGAAAAAAGGATATGTTGTACAATGATTGAATTACAAGAGGCGTGATAAGTGTTATGTTTTACAGCTTAGATTATTCAATGATTATGATGATGTTATTGTTTTTCTCATATTGTTTTCATAAATTCCACCAAGGTAAGTGGATGGTAAAGGTTTTCATGTTAATAAACGAGTTTATTGTAAATTATGCTCCATTGGTCTTTTTGTGTTTTTCTACCCACCTTTACCTCCGTGACGGTGAGATATCGTGATGTTCTTACTGGGCTAGTGTAGCTCACTCCTTATTTAACCATTTCAGATCAGGAAGACATGGTTCCCGAGCCCGTTCCGCAGGAGGACGACGAAGGGGATACCTAGAGACTCTGTAGTCATACTCATAGTTTTATTTTCGAGTTTCTCTCTTAGTTAGTTTAATCTTTTATATTTTAAGTACGTTTCTGGTTTTTCGTGTAAGGGATGTTAACTGAAATTTTGATCTCGCTTCCGCATTTGATATATTTAAATACTCATTTCATTTTAATATTTACGGGGACGTTACATATATTGTTTAATTGTTACAAAAAAAATTAATTATTGATGTACATATAATAATTATTTTTATTTAAAAAAATAAAATTATAAATTTGTAACAATAATAATATATAATAATAGGAGTACAAATATAATTGCAAATATATTTGTACTATATTATTATTAAAAATTATCTCTTGAAATTATGGAAGGTGAGGTGTTGAGCAACATGGGATATACATATATCTATATATGTAGGAGATTGTAGCCTCTAAATTAAAAGTTTATAAGAAGACTTTTAAAATCCAACGGTCCATATTTATTCAACTCTACTTTATTTTATTTTAATTAATAAAAAAATGAATATCTTGAGTCCACATGTTTATACGGTAAACAAAGAGATCAAATCTTGATGGTCTCAAATGATTTACTTGTTAACACACCATACGTTCCTTTTCTTGATATTTTTTTTCAACCTGTAATTTAAAATATTATATTAAATTTTTCAAAAGATATTTATATAATTCTAAATATTTTATATTAATAAATTGCTTATAATTTATATCCAAAATATTATAAATTATAAATTATCTAATAAGTATTTTTGTTTTTTGTTTTTTGTTTTTTAAATGTGATTGGAATATTGACACCTTACACCAATATAGATAAATAAATATATATTTTATAATTAATTTTTATCTATATATATATATATTATAATAGACCGTATGTTTTAATTAAATAATATTATTGTATTAAAATTAGTATAAATATATGAATTTATTAAAAGAAATAATAATCTATTATATTCTATAAAATTTATGCAAATATTAAAAAATTATGATGGGTTTAAATATTTTTTGTCCACGACCTTCCATTTATTGTCATTCATAGCCTTTAAACATGCAATTCATGAATTATATTTAATAAACATTTAATTGATTAAAACTCGATATAGTATTTTTTTAAAAAATTAAT